AAATCCCCCTCTATTCCATTTTGAGGGCTTGATCAAGCAAGTATTTAAAAAATGAATTTCAGGGTAGGGTGTAGTTAGGCAATGTTACACCAAATGTGGTATAATATGTCTTTCCTCCCCAACAAAAAGAGTCAATTTGTCATGTTTAGTATCTTTCTGAACTACCAGTGAGTTACTTTATGTGGTCTACCACAGAACAATATTTAGTCCTAGAAATAACCTAACTTAAAAAAATTTTCCTTTTGAGGCACCTGGTTGGCTCAGTGGTTTGAGCTTCTGACTTTGGCTCAGATCATGATCTCATGGTTCCTGGGTTCGAGCCCTGCATGAGGCTCTGTGTTCACAGCTCAGAGCCGGGAGCCTGCTTCAGATTCAGTGTCTCCCTTTCTCTCTGCCCCTTCCCTGCCTCATGCTCTGTCTCTCTCAAAAAAAAAAAAAAAGAAATTCCTTTTAACTTTAGTAATTTATTATAGGAGCATGACACCAAAACTGTATGTAAAACACTGAGAATAACAAAACTCGAATCTTATAAATATTAGAAAGTAAAATACAGAAATCTACCAAGTAACTCCGGGTCCTCGTTAGCCGTATTAAAAGATGATCTATATGAAGAAACTCCTTGAGCAAAACACTTCTGATATAGTTCAATATCTTATATAAATTATGCCAAGAATACTCATTTTTATTTTTTTAATATAAAAAAAAATTTAAGGCCAGAGGGGAGCAGAAAGAGAATCTCAAGCTGCAGCACAGAGCTGGATGCAGTGTGGGTACTCAGTCTCACGAACCCTGAGATCATGATCTGAACTGAAATCAAGAGCCGGATGCCTAACTGACTGAGCCACCCAGGCTCCCCAAGAATAAACATTTTTTAAATGTACTGCTGACCCTAAATAAAGCAAACTTTCTTTCTGTCATTCCCAGCCCACCCACGCCAGGATGAAGGGCAGTGCGAGAGAAAACAAATTACTAAAATATCCATTTATTTATTCCCTCATAGCTCTCACCTTCCCTCCCAATTCCACCATTTCACTTAACTACCCTCTACTTTACCTCTTCTCCTCTCGGAGGCAGGTCAGTAACCAAGGAGAAAAGTGGAGATAACAAGTGAACCCTGTTGCCATGCCCTGATCCGTTTTAGATTCAATTATTTTGTTAAGCTTTTGCTTTCCCCAAACTTCCCCATGAAGGGTTCTTCTTTTTCTTCCTTCCTTCCTTCCTCCCTCCCTCCCTCCCTCCCTCCCTCTCTCTCTCTCTTTCTGTTTCTTTCTTTCTTTCTTTCTTTCTTTCTTTCTTTCTTTCTTTCTTTCTTTCTTTCTTTCTTTCTTTCTCTTTCTTTCTTTCTTTCTTTCTTTCCTTTCTTTCCTTCCTTCCTTTCTTTTTCTTTCTTTCTTTTCTCTTTTCTTTTCTTTTTTTTCTCCTGCCTTCCTGCCTTCCTTTCTTTTTCATCTTCTACACAGATCAGCAGTGAAGTGTGCATATCCAAAATAAATTGGCCAGGCTACTGAATGAGAACAAGTTAGGTCTTTATCAGATTTCAGTCCCATAGGATTTCAGCTCCTTTCTTTCTTTCCTTTTCTTTTCTTTTTTTTTTAATGTTTTATTTATTTCTAGGAGAGAGAGAGAGAGAGACAGCGTGAGCAGGGGAGGGTCAGAGAGAGAGAGGGAGTCACAGACTGAAGCAGGCTCCAGGCTCTGAGCTGTCAGCACAGAGCCCGATGCAGGGCTCGAACCCACGAACCGCGAGATCATGACCTGAGCGAAAGTCGGACGCTTAACTGACTGAGCCACCCAGGCGCCCCATCAGCTCCTTTCTTAAACTGCTATTTATTCAACACAACACTTACTTGGCATGCATCTTGGGCTACCTTACTTACCCACCTCCTCTCCCAAGAAGAGTCATGTCCTTGAAGGTGGAAACTATCTTAAGCCTTTTTGTACCCTGAGTGCCAGCATGTGCTCAGCGGGCACCCTGTGGGTGATGGTAACAGGCATGGGCCATTCTTCTCTGGTCTCAGGTGAGGAGACAGGACCTGGAGCAGCCTCCTACTCAAAAACATTCAGACCATTTACCAGTTCACAGTATAACCTACTGTAGGGAGTGTAGGGGCGTGGGGGTTGGTGGTGAAGAAACAGGTTTTATCTCCTGTGTAATGCTTATCAATTCAGGAGCAGCTGCCTAAAGCACTGGGTTGGGAAAGATCTGGACTGGGTGAGAGACTGCGCACTGATGGATTAGTGATGTCTGCCCCACTCACAGGTGAGGCGCATGTATGCTCAGTGTTTGCCATCCTAGCTCCAAGCACTTGGCCAAAATCTCCATTTCAGTAAGTTCAAAAACTTCTTCCTGCTTCAGTTCCTTTCCTAACTGAAGCATTAGGCCGGGGATAGAGGATTCAAAAGTCTTCCAGATATATATTGCTATGTATCCTTTTACATAAAAGTTTGGTAAAGAATACTCTTCCTGGTGAATCAGACTGAAAGGTCACCATGACGCACCTTGTGTTCCCCCCTCTTGCCCATAGCTTTTCCACAAAAGCAAAAGCATCAAAGCTCTTCATTCCAGAAGCGACACCAGCCAGGATCACTTAAGGACTCCAGCGACGGTGCAGCTACTCTCTTTCATTCTAGTAGATGCTGCATCCTTCAGTTTAAAGAACTCTATTCTCCTCATCCTGTGCTTTCCCATAAATCTATACATCAAAGACAACCCCAAGATCAGGGGTAACAAAATTAGGAGATTCGGTTTCTGACTTTTCCTCTGAAATCGTTTCATAAAACCTTGCACAAAGCCGTTTCACAATGGTTGAGAATATAAATTCAGTATCTCCCCCAACAGGAGCAAAGAAATGTCCTAGGGGCTCAGCAAACTCAAAATTACATATCAAACCCCATTCTTCTTTGGATTTGTTTCTGGCAGTGCTCCCCTCAGCCAGAAAAATCCTTAATTTTTTTAATGTAAAAGATCAAAGAATCCATTTCATAATTCTTATCTAAAGCAGCATATTACAAAGCAAAGCACATCAAGTAGGGACAATCTCCACTTCCGGCTTTATAATCGAATTTATTTTATTTCTAAGGCAATCTTCATCAATTTGCACTTTCCTAATCAAATTATATTGTTTAAAAAGGCAATTTTGCTTACTACTCCCTGTCCCCTCTACATTATGGTAACGTGCACCCTTGCTCTCTCCACCCCAACCCTTCCAAAGCTCTTCTGCCACTTACAAACTGCTTGATGGCCTCTCCTCCTACTTTCTCTGAGAACAAACCACTTATGCCAGGGTCATTTAAACGTTCCCTTAAAATGTTTTCAGTGGTTGTAACGAAACAAAAGTCTTTCCAAGATAAAAGTATGTCAGAATGAGAAAATAAGTAAAAATCCATCCCTTTTCTCAAGAGTTCAAGAAATATTCTTTGTTCAGTTAAGGGCCAATTTGCCTTTGTAAGTTAACTTACAATCTTATAAAAGCTTCCCAAATCCCAAATGTTGGAATCATTTAAATAATTTTGCTAGGGAAGGAAATAGACACACACGCAGGCATTATATAAGGAGAAACAGCCTAGAACAACAGTAGCCTAGCTGAGCTGGAGTCTGGAAGATCTGTGGGTTCTAAGCCAGTTTACATCTTAATCTACCACCCAAAGTCTTTTTCTCCTTGACTGCTGACTACAGGAGCCCTGGAACAGAGGTACAGACACAGTCAGGCAGAAGTCAGAGGTGCAAGAGAGGCTCACCTCAGATTGGAGCAAAGAGTGAAATTCCACACAGGGTGCCTGGGGGGCTCAGTCGGTTACAGGTCCAACTTTGGCTCAGGTCATGATCTCATGGTTCATGGGTTTGAGCCCCATATAGGGCTCTGTGCTGTCGGCTCAGAGCCTGGAGCCTGCTTTGCTTCAGATTTTGCGTTTCCCTCTCTCTCTGCCCCTCTGCAGCTCACACTCTCTCTTTCTCTAACTCAAAACTAAACATTAAAAACATTTTTTTTTAAAGTAAAATTCCATTGCCTTTCTATACATCAGCTGAGCCTCTAAAACATGGTATTCTTCCAAAAAGGAAAAAAAATCGTATGGTACTGCAATTTGTTTAAAGGCAGGCACTGTATAACATCATCAGGTGCCTTATGGCCAACAGAGCCCTGTTTAGTATGACATACTAAGCTGAATAAAAATGGGGGAGGGGGGAAGAGCTCAAAACCAGAAGCCATATGAAAAGTCTATACAAAATGGGATTGTCTTTTTCCTGCAGCTAAAAGTGATCCAGCCTAGGGGTGCCTGGATGGCTTAGTCGGTTGAGCGTCCGACTTTCGCTTGGGTCATGATCTCTCGGTTCGTGGGTTCGAGCCCCGCGTTGGGCTCTGTGCTGACTGCCAGCTCAGAGCCTGGAGCCTGTTTCAGTCTGTGACTCCCTCTCTCTCTGACCCTCCCCTGCTCACGCTGTCTCTCTCTCTCCTAGAAATAAATAAAACATAAAAAAAAAAGTGATCCAGCCTAACCATTTTTCTTGATAGGATACTACCTACATTAGGAGCACAAGATCATGGAGGGCAGAGAAAACAAGACTGAAAAAAGCTCTCCAAACACACTTTGTAAACTACGATCTAGACTTTCAAAACTTACAACCAAACTGAAATTTATTTCTCTTTACTAACCAGATCATTGCAAATATGTCGTATCTCAAACTTCCTACCCCTTCATTTTTGCCACAGAGGTTCACTTGTCTTTAAAACCAAAACGAAAGAGCAACTATTTTTATTTAGTTCAAGAAATGACTTAGGTGCAAACGCAGGGACAGATCTCACAGGCACCCAGTTGTGCTTCCTCATGGACTGAATACATACCATTGCCATGAATATATCCTTTACCCTGAAATGCAAATGAGGTATGAAAGTAATTTTTTTTTTTAGAAAAATGAGCCCTAAAAACAAGTCCTTAGGTGGAATTCTTTAACAGTAACTAGCCTGCTGATGATGGACCTTGTTTAAAGCACCACACAACAATGTGTGTTTACATCACCCTTTTATTTCATAGTTAGAAATAACACAGTTCCACAGGGTAAATCATCAATAAATAACGGTGTTTAATCATTAAACGTAAAAATCCCAACTCTTTGGCATCTGACAGGATTCTATTTCTTGTCAAACTAATGACTGTATAGATATAGTTAATCTTAGTGATCATTCGTCAATACAATATGTTACAAAGGTGCAATTTACTTTGAAATATACAACAGCTGAAAATTTCCAGCCCACCAAGAAATCTGATCAACTCAGTCTTAAGAAATGGGTCAACTTCCCCAAGGCTCTTTCACATGATTTGTCTCAGTGAAAGTATAATAAATGTTTATTTAAGAGTTCCTAGGGTTTTCTAATACTTACTCTGTTCTAAATAGAGTTTGCATTCATTCTGGCTAAATAAAAGTCATATCTGCACCAGGAATGACCCACTCATTAATAAAAGGTGTTCTTATTTTATAAGCAAGATTGCTAACACCTAAGAAACTCACAGTCCCCAAAATAAAATTTAAAATAAGCAGTTCTATGCTGCCAGAAATGCCAATTCGGTAATAAATTGCACCTTCAAGAGTCAACAAAGAAAAAAGAAATAGAAACTTTTACAAAAGGTTAAGTTACATACATTTTCCTCAAAATATATTCAAGAATAGTTGAGCTGTATTTGTTACTAAAGCCAGGGCATTATTTCTTTAGCAACAAATTAAACCAGTGCAATTGACATAAATTGTTAAATAATCCAGGATTAACCCATTAAAACTGTGGAAGCCCTTTAGGCTCCCACACTAATCCTAGAAACTGAAATTTCAATGAGCGCTCTGAGCTGCACAGAACTAAAACTGGAATGACCCAATGCCATGCTGAATGGTATCACTTCATACTTAGTTTAAGCATTCGAGAGTAGAAATCATGAGTCCTTCTATTAAAGTTTCATTCACTTACAGAACATTCAGATGCAAACAGTATTATGCCTATCATCCACAATTAAAAGAATCCTTTCCGTTTTAAAGTTCCAGATGAATTTTAACTTAGAAAGTAAGCACTAAGGTAACTTTTTTAACTTATGAAAAGTTCATATTGGAAACTTTCTGGAAAAGCTTCCCCCCACCCATTGTAAAATAAATACTTTGTATCCCAAATTTAATTGTATTAAGACACACTTTAATAATGCTATAAAGAAATATTTTACAGCCATAGAGATCAATAACTTTCCATGCGGAAATAAAAAAATTCATTGCTCAATAGTATTATTGAGGCAAGTGAAGAAAGATTATTCTCTTGTCAATCTGAAATGTTAATTTTTTTCAGTGCAAAACCAGTTATAAAATCTTTAAACTCAATATTTAAAAATAAAAAGTGGTCCAATTCAGCAATGTTCAAGTTCTAAATTTTGTAAAACAAATCATTACATACATTTTATAGTAAAATACAGAGATTAAAGAAGTACTTGAGTACTTAAAGATATAAATTTCTAATGAATCATACCAAGTCAGCAACAACCAAGCAGATAACATTCCCAATTTGAGTGTCAGAATCATAAAGATGGTATTACTGTACCGAAGCCTTTTTTCCTAGCTAAAAAGCTATACAGACTAATGGCCAACATTCTGTTTTCTTTGCAGTTGCGTGCTCTAGAACGATTTTCCCCCAAGTACCTGTGATTTCATTCCTGTATTCGAAATTTGATCCAAACAATTTTTATGTTCCAGGAACACTGAGCTGATATAACCATCTATAACATGAAGAGTCCTGTACAGAGTACAACAGTGGATTTTTCCAGCCAAGCACAGGCTGACCTAAACTGGTTTACACTCTCTGCAAGTCATTCATGTATTATTCCTAGCAAACACACGGTCCCCTCTGAGGGTTAGGTGTTGAAGCTGGTACTGGAGCACTTCTGTGTCAGCTGGCTCCTTGATGTTCATTTTATCTAGATTGAGGTAGTCCAGAGATTTGGAGTGAGCCCTCTTACCTTTAAGAAGACAAAGAGGCAGGGGCCCATGGAGGGCCTTGTAAGGTTCATAAGGTAAAGATTTAGTGCACTTGTCTCCTGAGCTGGGCATCCGCCTTCGCCTCCTGCCATTGACCGCTGGAATCTCGTATGGCTGGTAGTACCTACTTCTGGTTTTATACAAACGAGAGGAACGTGCAAGTCCCGCATCCAGCTGTTTGGAGCGCAAGGAAGGCACAGCTTCTCCCTTACTCTCTTCACCTCCTGTGCACTTCTGGGCTAACTTCAGGAGTTCCTCACCGGTTGTGAAGCCCACCAGATAGTTAGAGTCCATGTGCAGAATCTGGTAGCCCGACACAGTCCGGCGCATCGGCGAGCAGGGCGTGCTGGAACAGCGCGGCTTCTCTGCTTCTGCCTTTCCCGGGGAGCTCGCCTCCGCCACTGGCAAGGGCAGGGTGGCCAGGGTACTTCTGGTCTCTCCATTAACATCCACTTCCATTTTAGGCACCAGTCCGCACACCCCTGAAAGCAAACAGACTCAGATTGTAAAGGTATGAGGCACAGAACCCTGGGCCAAGCTGGTCATTGTAGAAGGCTCAGGGAGCATGAAATAACACTGGCCTGAAGAACAGCCAGCGTACAACCGCCAGATTTTTATCTGTGTCTATAAAGCATTCCGGAGCAGGCATAAAATGACTACTACTTCTCTGACTTCAAGAACTCAAAGGCAGGTTAAATTAAAGTCTGGAGGACTATTAAAAGGTTCGGATGAGGAGCAAACAGAAAACAATACTTCTCTAAATGGGGCACTCCACACAATCGCACAGTTTATTCCTTGATGTGATATTAAACAAATCAAATACAGATCTCAACATTAAGCAAATAAAAATATACACAGTTTTGCAACTGTGTATAAATGTTCCCAGCTTGAAAATTTAAATCTTTACACTTTCCATCATTTAATTTAAAATAAGTGCTTGGCTCTTCATGCCTACAATTTTTTTTCCAATTGTGTTTGAGGGGCATATAAGGAAAGATGAAAACGGATGAATTTCTACAAAGGTTCCAATCAGATCCCAAATTTTTTTTTAAGGTATGAAGGTGCCTTCAGGATAAGTTCCTCAAATGTTGTAGATACTCTTCCTCCCATATCCCCAATAAATTGTTTAAATCAAACCATTTTGTAGTTTAAAAATAAACCCCAAATCCAATAAATCAGGCCACTTTTAATACTGAAATTATATAAAATATCAGATGTACTTTGACAATTTAACCAGAAAATATGCTATTGATTTGAGAGTTATTTTATTTTGCAATACCTAAGGCCCTGCATTTTGAATAATTTAAAAAACGGCAGAACAATTCTCAATAAATTCATCACGATTACCACATTACACAGTTTGGAAAACCCAACTGATAACAGGTACCACAAATAATGGCCACGTTTCTAGAAAGCTGCAGACAAATCAAATTTTGGAAAATAAAATAGTAAGAAAACCGAGCGACATCCCTGTCATCTCAGGGAAACTTTATTTCTACTCGAGCATCAATTAGAAGTAGGAAACCAGAGTTTTATGTGTCTCAGATTGCTAATCAAAATGATGTCAAATAGTAACAAACTTTAAGATGAAAAATTTATTGAAAAATAAATTTATTAAATTCTTATAAACCCCTTTGTAAAACAACCTTTTCGTAACTGAAGCACTTCCCAATGTTTGTGTATTCATTTAAAATCCAAGCAATTCTAAAGCTTAACTTAAAAGATAAAAATAAAGAACCTTATTTCCTCATTTACACACTATACTTTCCTTCATTAGAAAATAAACTGAGGGGCGCCTGGGTGGCTTAGTCGGTTAAGCATCCGACTTTCGCTTAGGTCATGATCTCGCGGTTCGTGTGTTCGAGCCCTGCGTCGGGCTCTGTGCTGACTGCCAGCTCAGAGCCTGGAGCCTGTTTCAGAGTCTGTGTCTCCCTCTCTCTCTGACCCTCCCCTGCTCACGCTGTCTCTCTCTCTCTCCTAGAAATAAATAAAAATATTTAAAAAAATAAAAATAAAAAAAAATAAACCGAGACTATGAAGAAGTTCCCAGATACTATTCTGTCCTCACTACAGCCCAAAACTATAGCACAACTGAAAACTAACAATAATAAGGATTCCTGAGATACATACAGCAAACACCAAAGGGATCCACAGAGCTCTACTTACTTCTTGCTCTAAATCTTAGACTACGCATTCCCAAATTGAATTTAATCAAAATACCGTAGCTCTTCAGATCTTCTGGCCTTAAAGTGATTGGCTTCATTCTATATTACTAATGTAAAAATAAATTTCTATTTGACCGTGTAATTTATTTCTCTGTTAACAGGACAGGAATCGTAGGTGACTATCAGCTACTATGACATGCATGCAAAAAGCTGAAGATTTCTTATCTAATCAACTTCAGAGAACCCAAGCCTCATCAAACCTTATGCTGAATAAACAAATGGTGACTCTAAGCCAAATGACAAACTAATTTAATACTTCCTTTCTCACTAATTCTATAGCCCAGAAGGAGCACAGGAGGACAGATCCAAGGTCTCCAACCTACCTAAACTGACAGGCAGCTACAGGCGGGAAGTGTAGATACTTCTCTAGATATTCCATTCTGAAAGATGAGGAGAGTCAGTGAGGCTAAAATCAACAGGGGCTGCAGAGGAAAGGAAGCACACACCCAGATGGATGCCCCATGCAAGAATGATCTAGGTGAGGACACTCCAGCAGTTAGTCCACATTAAATGACACAATGGTTTAGGTCTCTTCCAAATCTGGTAACCCATGACAAACCACAGACCTCGACCAGCCACCTTCCTGCATTCTCATTTGTTCCTTTATATACTTTCCTAAATCCATGAGTTCACACTCCACCCATTCTGATTTGGGTAATAGTTCAAACAGAGCTAGAATGGAAGTCTTCTTTTTTTGCCTCTGAGGGATAAAAACAGCTAAGCAAGGTAACACACAAAACCACCATAAAGAAGAGCAGGCACAAGCTTCTGTGGTCAACAGGACTAAAAGTTTGTTCCTATACTAAGCCAATTCTACTGCATCAGGGCAGACCATCAGGAATTCTTAGAATCGCTAGAGGATGAGGAGAAAGAATGGCAGGACACAAAGGTCTGATAGAAAAAGGCAGAAATTATATATTATCTAGAAAATAAGCACCTAGAAAATGAGAAAACTTAAGACAGTGAGTAAAGTGATGTATAAACGTCAAAAATTGATGGGACATGAAACATGAGGTATGTAACCACCGCTGCTTGAGTTTTCCAGTTTCCAGCAGCCAAACAACACACATGAAATATCACCTGGCCTGGGCAAAACTACCTACCAGGATCTGCAGACATCAATCTATCTGATAGACAAATGATTTCACCCAGACTGTCAAAAAAAAGAAAAAGCTATGGTTTAAGAGCTCTGGAAATTTCAGCCAAGCAGCCCTGGTGTAAGAAATCTATCAGGTTTTGCTAAGGTAAACAACGTGTGCTCTCTTGTTAGAAAACACTACTGAACCATAAAGTCAAAGAAACAAGCATTTCTAATATACTCTTAACAAATGTTTAGCCTAGTAACTAAGGTCAATACTCTACATCAGATTTCTGAATTACAGTCTCACTGTGCCAGAACATAAAAACGCTATTTGAGATATACACAACAGGCTGCAACCTACTGAATTTCTTCTGACGCACAACTGTAAATTCTGGAGAACTGTTTGCACTTTTTGCTACAAAAACATCAGTATTTCTGCTCCAAACAGTCAGGCAGTCTCAAAACTAACAGCTCTTTGAGGTGGCTTCATTGGTGTGTGCAGTGTGCTGCCAAATGCATGAGAACATCTTGAGACCTTAATATTCATGTAGGAGTGTCAATGGTGCAACAACCTGAACTCTTGCAGACTGCTTAGGGTTTTTTTCTTAAAGGCTCCTTTTTAATTCATGTATTGCCTTTCTAAAGAGCACCCAACTGTGCAGCATGAAGAAAGCTATGTGGCGGCTGGGTTTCAGAAAAGGCAACGCTGGTTGGCAAATATTTTGTCTTTAGCTAGGTGGAATGCTGACCAAGCAGCATGCCTTCCATTCTTCAGTGTGACTGAAAGCAAACTTTTTATGCTATTAAGTTCCTTAGAACTTCCTGACTGCCTCTGCACACTGGAGCAAGATCCTGGGAGCAGTTACAGAACCAACGTGCACAGGTTATCTCTTAAGTGGGCAGAAGTAGTACAGAACACATCTACAGTGTGTCCTGAAGAAGTGTAGGTACTTATTAATTTTGCAATCCTACAAAAAAGTAAATAAATAAAATACACCAGTGACGCTAAAGACAGATGTCCAGTATTTCACACAGCAAAATTGCTTACTAAAAGCACTGATTAGGAAACATGGCGACCATGACTACAACTGGAGATGGCCTTGGTTTGGTAGAACATGCTTTGTATTTTTACCATGAAAAATTTGCTTATGGGTTTGTTATTCTTTACAAACCGCTCATGACTAAGCATTTTGTTTCATATCCTAAAATAAACTGCGCATCATAAATGCATACTGCCAAGATAAAAGATGACAAGAACTGTTGTAAATACTGCAGGTATGTGCAACAGGCACCCTCTCCCACCGCGCCAAAAAGAATGAACATGAGGCGGGAAATCAGGTACAATGCTAACTTCTGGACGGCTGAACACCAGAAATCAGAGACCAACAATATCCTTATTGATTCCATTAATGCCTTTCATATATAGTTTAAAGCAAAAATAAAAACTGGAAACAGAAAAAGGGAAAAGTATTGTTATAATAAGAAAAGCAGCAAAATCTCTGTTGATAGAAGAGTCTGGAACAATACAATGAGAACAGAGAAGTCAACTTGTAGCTGAACACTAGTTTTAAAAGTGAGTTTCTTAAGTTCCAAGAACACATATAATGCATACATATCTTTTAATTTTTTTATATAATTAAAAAACATTTTTTAATTCCTATCAGTTCCCTCACAATCTAATCCATCACAAAGGTACTGACATTTACTTATAAAACACGAAAGACCTGACAGTATTTACGGGTGCCATTTATTTCTTTGAAATAGATGAGGATTCAAAATTAGATAACACTCAAAATTAGATGTTACAAGGTTACATCTTCTGCTAGAAAATGTACACAGTGCGTATTTTAAAAACACTAAGTACCACATGCAATTATGAATTTTGGTTGTAACTAACGCCAACAGGTACAAACTACAACACACATGTAGGGAACCCAGTATAGCGAGATGAGCACATTCAAAAGACTGTGACCTGTGTAAAATCTGTTTAGCTTTGAACATTCCCCAGGAAGTCAAACTTCCTAAGCATTTGGCACAAGGAGCCTTAAAAAACTATAACCTAAATGCCTTAGCTCCTTAGGCCAGCTCTGAAAATAGCTGAGAAGTTTCACAACTGTCATACAAAGAATTCTTTTTGAGAAATAGTGCATTCTGGGAATGCATTTTTTTTTAATCAGGCCTATCAAAAAAAGTCACCACCAGTAATCAAAAAATTGTTCCATATGCTTGAACTGCTTTTAGTAACACACAGCAATTCCATTTAAGAGAAAACAGATATAACTGTCTAAATATACAGAACAAAAATGTCACCATGTGAACCAAATCCTTTTCAAGAAATGAACCATTTGGAATAAAGCCGGCTCTTGGAAAATGGAGTCTCTTAAGCATGACTACTGTCAATCTAGTAATATCTAGAACTGCCTAATTTGAATGCCAGAATGAGCTTGGATGGCATGGATGCTGAACTTCTAAAGCCATGAAGGCAGGGCCTTGCCCAGAGCCAGGCACGTAGTTCCTGATTTCCTGGCTCTGTCAACTTCATCATGCTGGGCCTGCAGCACACGGTTCCCAAACTTGTACTCATGCTAACATCATCCAAAGAGCTTCAAGAAATACTGATGTCTGTGCTCTGCCTCAGATTTGCGATTAAATTCATCAGGGGTACAGCCCAGGCTCTTCAGAAGACTCTACTATGCAGACATGTTCGGGAACTTGTCAGAGAACTTATTAGGTAGAAGAATTTCACTCCTGTAAGTCCCTGCCTTTTTTTGTTTGTTTGTTTTCAATCAGTGATTATTGGTCATCTTGGTGGGTATTATTTCTGTATGTTTCGAATTGTTAACAACCTACCCGAAGGCCTTCTAACTTACTGTTTCTAATCCACTGTGGGCTTAAAAACTATTTGCTAACTGAACTTGTTAGAATTGGATATAAGATAAAAATAAATCAGTGCTGAATGAGAACAGGGCCCCATCATCTGCACATACTTTGGTTTAGTTACTTTAGCTTTTTAGCAGCCTCTGTCAGATACAGCTCTTTGGACAGCAGTCTGGCAATTACCTGTACTTTAAATAAGCGGCATTGAATATACCACCTACCCTACTTGTAGGCATTTACCTAAGAAAAACAAAAATATATGTTCACACGAAGAGCTGAATATGAATGCTTTTAGCAGTTTCATTCTTAATCACCAAAAACTGCAAACAATCCAAATGTCCATCAACAGGGAAATGGAAAAAGAAAGTGTGGTCCATCCAAACAATCGAATATCACTCAGCAACAAAAAGGAGCAGACTAGCATTACACAAGTGAAAGCTGCAGACAGAAAATGTTACATACTGTATGATCCTGTTTATAGGACATTCTGGAAAAAATCAATGACTGCAAAAGGCTACAAAGGGGTACAGGGAATCTTGGGGGATGATTAAAATATTCTACACATTGACTGTAGTGGTCATTCCACAACTGGATACATTTGTCAAAACTCATGAAACTATACAAAAGGGTGAATTTCACTATATATGTTATACATCAATATGCCTGACTTTAAAAATAAAAGAAGCCTGTCACATATTTCCAAGGTTTTGACTATCCTCATTTTAAAATTCTTCAAATTATCTAATCTCAGAATCAGAGGGAATCTTAATGGCTGTTCAGTGTGTATTTGAATACCTCCAATTACAGGTAACTTACTACTTCTTCAGTTGGTTCATTTCACTTTGTGCAGACATGTTAGACTGCTCTTTCATTTACAAATATATCTATAATTATGTATACATACATATGTCTACAGGCATGCTTCTAGAGAAAAAGATATAGACAGACAGACACACACACACACACACACACACTCCTGTAGCTTCTTCTCACTTCTCCCAGTTTTGTGCTTTATCTAAATTAGATGAGTTAATAACCCAGCCACATTATTTCTTACTCAATATCTTCTAAAAGCATTTTGTACTTTCAGTTTTCAAACTTCTTGCTTTTTCCCTCAAAACTGAAAATTTCGTAATGTTTCCATTTGGTCAAAGTTTTAAAATGCATTTTCATAAATCTGATAAGCAATATTTACCTACTGACACAAAAGTGTCTGTTTTTCCCCATCATTCTTTTGAGTCATTGTGCTGCTGACTGCTAATTTGAAAATCACTCATTAGGAAACTAGATTTTTTTCCCCAAGGATTCCCCCCCACCAAGGATTATGACGACTCTAATTCAAAGCAAGGACCTACAAAGACACTGCCCAAGCAGAATGACATACCAAAGCACAAACGCACACTTATATACTTTTTAAAATGTTAAAAAGCCACAAAGATCATTATTAAATGTTTTTCACCTTCAAAGAGGTGGAGTCACATGGATACCCGTGTTAGCACAGATACACAGATGACACACTGAAAAAGAACTAAAAGAAGACAACAGCCCTGAATAATTTTAACAAGTTTAAATTCATGGCATAATAAAAGGAATGTCACACCTGCGGTGAACCGCTAACATGACCAAGTAAAAACGATGCTCCCTTCAGTCACCTGTTTGCCACTCTTTATGTAAGATAATATACAACTGGAACTTTTCTGCAAATTATTGTGCCAATCCCTAGGGATTCAAGCTTTACTAAAATTTCCCTGAAATTAGAGCAACTACCTCGTAACCACTCTATTTTGAAATCTTACCCCATAAAACCTCCTGTGTCTTATGGGAAGAAGAAAAAAATGTACCCAATCAATAGAGCAAAGACTTCAAGATAATAACATTCTCATTCTGCAACAGTAATTTCAGTTCTCATCATGAAAAAATTCATAACTGTAGTACACATATTTGCAATGATACACTGACATTTCACATTAATCTCTTTACGCGGTCCTTAAATCACATTACGATACTACGTTCACACAACTGGTTAACAAACAGAAAAAGCAAAATATAACTCACCACACTAAGTCCCAGAAGATGTCACTGTACAATGTCCAATGAGTCCCAAGGGAACACAGGCATACTATTTTTTCTGCTCTACTCCAGATACTAATGGAATATAAAAATAAACCTTTAATTTAACAAGTAACACAACTTACAAAGCAATTATAAGAATTCTAACTGCAAAAGAGGATGAAACTAGCAGGAGGTACTAACACCAGGTACAGGTTAGAGAAGATACATTATTAATTCATTTGATTAAAACAATTTGAGTTTGTTCAGCTAAATAAAACTTCAAACATCTCATCGTGTTTGTTCCTCTGTATTATGCTGCTGAAATTCAACCCTGACACTAAGAGCAGCTAACTGGGCTAAAGAGAGAGACACAAAAACTTTGGGGTTTAAAAGTCAATTCTACCGCCTCTTCATGTGTTCAGGAGATTCAGCGTGTCCTATGGAAAAAGTAACCCTGAGGCTGAGGTCAAAACAAAGAGGTCCTAGCCCTGGCCTTGCTAACAGCTCTGCCTCTTGACCTTGCTTCAAGTGTAATATTTAATACGAAGACAATATCATACTTCCTCCTCATACAGTTGTTACGTAGATCTAATGAGAGGAGGCAGGTGAACATGTTCTGCAAAGTCCTTTATGGATGTGTGTGATGTTACTGTAATGTAATTAGGTTTTGGCGTCTACACATTTTAGCCACAAAATAGCAACGATAAAAATCCTTCTGCTGCTTAGAAAACACTGTTTTTCTTTCTTTCTTTTTCTTTAAGTATTTGAAAAATACTTCTTCAGAGTTACCATATTGCATAAAGTTTCTAGCATTTATCTCCTTTGTGTCTTGCCCTTACCTGGGAAGGTAATGTGTAAGAGAATCTATCTTTATCTCCTACCTTACTAGTTAATTGGGTTAACTTCTTAAGGCCAAGAAAACTCCCCAAAGTCCTGGCCACCTGTAAAGATTTCTTTGGTGGTTGCGTTTCTGTTGTTGTGTTGAACTCGGGGCGAAGGAGCCCCAAACAAGCCACGTGGAGCCATTTCACCCCCACGGGTGCGCAGGGCCCAAACAGAGGCTACCAGGAAACAGGCCCTCACGCCCAACGCAGCCAGCAAGGGAAGGGCAAGGACTTTGTCACTTCACTACCGTCCCCTTGCCAGCACTGAAGAGTTGTTTGTGTCCAAAGGAAAGGGAGACATCCTGACTTGAAGGGATTTGCCTCTTCAGCTTGAGGAACCGGAAGGAGTTCGTGCACCAAGAACGGTCATTCCCAGAAGCTCACACGTTTATCAGCCTTCGGAACGTGCGTCCATTTAGGACACAGACACGCTCCCTGTCACCGCCTGTGGCACCAACCCCGTTCAGACTGGGAAGACACCTACGTAATGAACACTTGCTTCTCCTCCACCAATCAAGCCTTCGGTTTTTACATAAAGTGAACCGCGATGTAACAAACTGTTGCCCGAAAAGACATCCTTTATTTCAAATACTCAACCCTCCCTCTAAATGTCCTCAATACCGCTGTTAGGCAGTTCAAGTTGACTTCTTAATTCCAGTAAGTGGATTTTTAATGGGGAAGGGAAATTAACAAAGAAACTAAGATTTCTGAGCACCTTCCTGTGTACGCCACAAGCCGTACGCCATCTGTATCATCACTGCATCTAACCTCCACTCCGCGGGGAGGTGTCTTCCCCGGTGGAAGTACTCGCTCAGGTAACGCTGTCTGAACCTGAACCCCGCCTCGGCGGACTCCAGAGCCCACTGACGTGGCTTCCTATACATGTGGCCTCTGTTCAGTGAGAAGCCCGCATGTAAGCTTTTCACACAATAACCATGTTCCTGAAAAATGTAAATTAATTTCTGTAAATGGAATTCTATTTCAAATGTGTGGGGAGGCACTTTATTTTAAAGCTTTACTGCCTCACTTGTGAAATGATTAGAGGGAGGTAGTTTTAGCTACTAGTTCTAGTGTTATTTCCAACTGGAAAATGTTAGGATGTTACAGGACATAATGCAGAGTCTCACACAAAGTCATTCTAATCATGGGCCCTTTCTCCTAGGTGCGGATAAGATACTTTAACATCATAAATCGTAAGGGAAGAAAACCTCGTATCAACCCATACCTGAGGGTTACATGGTTGGATATCAAATACAGATAGTTATTTCTGCTGAATATTTCAGGGCTACATCTATCACAAAGTGAGATAAATTTCATTTTGACTTTTAGAAATTTTAGAATGAAAACCCAAGATGAGGAACATTGGGAAAAAATCTGGATCTGTTTTAATGCAAAATAAAGAATAGTTTTCAAAACCCAAGTAAAATCTCAAACTTTCATAGAATTTGCATCACGTACTTGGTGATACACGCTTCTTTTCAAACTTGTAAATGCAGTGAAGAAATGTATTTTCCAACATTTTTCAACAGGCAAAGAAAAATCAACCTAAAACTTCAGTCTGGATTGGAAGACAGAGGAGCCTTAAAGTAATTATCCAACCCGTGCCTGGGAGCTGATGTCTAGGAAATGGTTGGTAATTTCATAGTAAACAAAGCGTAGTAACTGATTATCCCTAATATGGCAGTGCCAAGCCAAAAATAGAATACAAACACGGAGTTCAAGGGAGCCACCCGGGCAACACCAAGGTGCAGCAGCTCCTTCACGGTCTCATTTTTTACTCATTTCGGACTTTGCTTTCTGTTGTGTGTGTACCACCTGCTCTCTGTGCACAGGGGCTAAGATGAGGAGGATAAAGATGATGAAAAGGGGAAAAATTAAAAGAATGAGACCAGACACTAGTATAAGAATTTAACTTAAAGACTGCCTATAAAGGAAACTAGTTAAAAAAACAACAAAACAAAAAATGAAAGGAAGGGCTAACCCTCATCTACTAGAAACAATTGAGTGTAATTTGAATGTTCCCAAAGGACTGGGTTTTTAATAACAAAGCAACCAGTATTTTTGAACACCTTCTTTATGCCAAAAGCTGTAAGCGATTTATAGCTATTCCATGTGGAAAATACGACTCTCACTTTAAAGTATTCAACCAAGTAATACTATTTGAGAGTCCGAGCAAGAATCTGAACGCCTACCAGTCTGACTCCAAAGCCCATAGAGACTGGCATAATGGGGATGATGAGTTAATACACTTTGTTTACTATGAAATTACCAACCATTTCCTAAATATCCACTTCAGCTCCAGGGCAAGCGGAGATAATCACTTTAAGGCTCCTCTGCTTTCAAATCTAGAATAAAGTTTTAGACTGAAATAGCATTTTTAGAATACTTTAAAAATCTATAAATCTCTTAACACTTGCAACTGATTCTGGCCAATGTTTTGAACATGAAGGCTTGGCGAGGTATCAATATCTCCTCTCAAAAACAGTCAGCAAGAGGGAAAAGCACTCACGTGAAATTCTTACAAGATGTACTAAATGCTGTGTAGAAAGACAGACTGAAGTAAACAGACCAGAAGCTAGAATACATAATGCTTCCAGCTCGAAACAGCCGAAACAAACAGAAAACCCTGTGACATTACCCTGTAAGAACTGTAAACAGGGAAAACTAAGCATGGCCAAGGACTTCCCACAGGCCTCTGGGTAGGGAGGCCATGAGTGACTAAGCAAAAGACACCCAACACACCATTGCAAATGAATCTTCTGCAGACAGAAAAGTTTGCAAACATTAACTAGGAAGTGTGTCAAATTTCACAGGCAAGGTGATAGATAGCAAAACAGGTAAATAAAGAAGAATGTCCTTCAAAAGTAGGGTGGCCATGTGTCTGTTCAGAGCTGGTTCTCTGGCATGATTATTTATAGCACGCCCTTTATCTCTCGAAAGTGTCCCAGTTTGGCAATTACACTATTATTCTACTCAAAAGTAATATTTAACAATGAAAAGGCAATGCATTAAAAGGGGGAGGGGAAGGGAAAGAAAGTCCCTTCTGCTTGCACACTGGCTTCCCATACAGATCTGAAACGTATTTCTTTGGGGGTATCCACTGAGCCATCAATTATTCATTTACTCATTCTGTCATTCAACAATATTTCTTGAGTCTTATCCCAGCCTTGTACAGGCACCAAGGCAAATACAAGAAGTGAAGCTGGAGATTAGGTGAGAAGGAAAGACAGACAGACATGGAAATACAGACATCTAACACACAGAAAGGGAAACTTGAGTGGTCTTAGGAACCCAGAGATGGAGTGTTTTTTCCCCAAACACCGAGAGCTCCCACATGGAAATGTTCAAACCCACACAACATCTCTACATTCAAAAAAGCCCTAAGTATCAGTGCACAGATCCACTAAAAAAAAGCAATAAGGAAAAAAATTAACATCTATCACTTCCGCACCATATGGTTATAAATATGAAGGCCAGGCAATAGCCTTGCAAATTCTGGTAAATAAATCCCACTAATCATTAAAGATCATGTTATGAAAAGAAAAATTTTACACAAACGAAACTGGTGGAGTAGAGGTTATGGGTTCTAATTCTAGATTCCAAAACACAAAGGAAAAAAAAAAAAGGAAACAGGTAGTATTTCTCAGAGTAGCTGTTTGAGGACAGATCAGTAATTCTAAAAAAAGCACTTGGAAAAAAACAGCAACTTTTAAAAGTTGCATTCAGATTAATGAAAATATTTTGCAACCACCAGCCTCAAAGATTACTCTAAGAACAAAAAAGAGAAGGACCAAAACATCTCCCAAGTCACAGAACACTGAGCAGAAATAAAACGGTTTAGCTGCCAAACGACAGCACACACAATGAAAACAAAATGCTTAGCTGTGCCTACCCTACATGCTCCCCTTAGAGATTCCTTTAACCTTACTTTTCCATTTGTAACTCATAAAAACTAAACCGTCAATAATTTTAAGAGCTGTTGAGTAGGGTGTGACTGTTCTGAAACCATCCTCGACCTTACAAACAAATCACTAATCTCACCAGGGTGGTAAGACAACCCATAATTGGTTCAGTAAAACAAGTATGTGTCTCTCACGTGAGTATCAGTTCTTTCAATAGCAAACCCCTCAAAGTGCAGCATTCATTTTCCCCTCTGTTTCTGCTAGTAGAAATTAAAGCTAGATTACCAGTGTTGTCTTACCATTATGTGAAGTCACCCTTCTACTTTTAGAAAAAAACCTGGAGTTTCACTACAAGTATGACTGATGGTAACTGGAAGTGGAGGTCTACAGGCAGTCTTTACAAGAAATTTGCCTCCCAGGAAGCATAACCGAAACCCGACAGGTGCACTCGGTGCAACTGGCTAACCTTCCATATATGAAAGTTTAAAAGCAGGAACTTCTTCGGACAGGCCAGTGATGGAACCAAGAGTTCTCTCTGGAGGAAAAGAGGGGATTCTTCCCCCAGAGGATATAAATCGGCAACGGCAAAGAAAACTTAAGCACTGTATATAAAGTTTTATCACTTCTACCACACCTAAGGGTGTACAATAGACTTCCAAAGTATACAAAGTTATACCAAGAAAGTAAACAAATTCACAGACCATTATGCAAGGTCAATAAATATTCTATGCATTCTTATATCCTATAACAGTCACTACTAAACAGTCTCATTTGCTATTAACTAATATGTTGGCAGAAGCATTTTCTATACACCATTCTTATCAAATCAAGAGGTCTAGGGGCTCATTAATCCTTCTATTTCATCCTAGCCATTTTATTAAGTTTATCATGCACACATGCACACTGAAACCTGTGAAACATTCACTAAACATAATTGTGTAAGCATAAATCATGGCCTTGACTTAATAAAGTACCCAAAGCTTCTACAATAATAACCAACACTTTCGTTTGAAATCACTGGGAAAATAAACTTTGAGAAGAGATCATTTATATCTCCGAGAGTGTAACTTTCTCTACAGGGTTAAAACACACACACACACACACACACACTGCAACTAACAACTCTAAATTGTAGGGTGCCTCATCTGAGAAAAACAATGTAAAATGAAGAGTCTAGTAATGTCAGAAATGTTTTGCAAGAATTGCTCTTTGGGCTAGGAGTAGCAAGCGTGCGATAAAACGCTTCTGCCTCCATTCTTCCTCAAATGATTAAAAAGTTCCCAGCCCCAGTTTTACCTATGCACAACCGGGCACATACACCGTCGGCATCTTGGCTCGACACTAATCGCTAACCCACCCGGATGCAAACTGACGTAGGTGGAGAAGCAGGAAGACCCTAAGGATGTGGAACACTTGCAAGGGGAAAAGGATGGGGCCATCATTCCCTTCATGTTCTCCTTGCTGGCAGATTTGCAGATTCCACCACTAGAGAGAGTTTGGCAGCTTCACAATGGGGCCGCCTGCTCAGCGTCTGACTGCCGCCCGCCTGGAAACCCCTTTCCTCCGCTTATCACCCGCCCTATAAAAGTCCACCTGCGACAAGTGGGGAGAGGGCGGCGATGCCCAACAACAAATCTGCCGCTTTCGCTTCTGGCCATCAAGCCGCCCCAAACTACAAGCGCGCCCCGCGACACCGCCGGCCCGTCCGCCCCCGCTGTACCCGCAGACGCGCAGCGGGCGCGGGCTGCGGGCTCTCGGGCGACCTCATCCCCAGGACTGCAGCGGGGGCGAGGAGCGCCGGCGAGATAAGACCTTCAGGGCTCGCCCGGAGGCGCTATCTGGCCGGGGCAGTCGCACCGGGCGCGCGGCCGGGGCGCGCCTCCAGAGGCGCAGCAGGCCGGGGAAAGAGCTACTTCTCAATGGGGGCCGGAGGCCGTCTGCCCCGCGGTGCGGGCACGCCGGCGGAGGAGCCAGCGTGCGCGCCAACGCGCCGGGACTTCCGCACCGCCGCGCCGCGGGAGAGGCGCTCCAGATCGCCCCGTCCCCGCACCTCCCCGGCGAGCGCACGCCGCGCGCACACGGGGGCGCACGCCCCCGCACACTCACACGCGCTGCACACTCACGGCGTCTCCAGCCCCACCCCTGTGCCAAGCAGCCGCGGGCTCCCCGCACCCCGCATGGGCCCCACCCAGTTCACCAGACCCCAGCCTTCAGCTCGGGGGCCCCTGGACCGGCTCGCCGAGGCTCGGGGCCCCTGGGGTCGCCTCGTCGCCCGTTCCGGAGGCCCGCCCGCCCGGGGTTCCCCAGCACCGCGCGGGCACCGCGGGCACCGCGCGCCCGGCCCCGACACGAGGCAGGGAGGAAGGGGCGGTGCCGCCACTGGGGCTGGCACCGGAGCTCGGTGACTGGAGCACCCCCCAACCCACTCACCCATCACCACCACCACCTATTCTGCAGCACAAAAGGTTGCAGGCGGAACCGCCGTCCCCGTGCAACCTACCGGTGGCCCAGGGCTCCGCCACCTCCGCCGCGCCTGGGCCTCAGAGCCGGAGAGAAGGGCGGGAGAGGCGCAGGGCTGCGGCGCCGAGATCCGGGCAGAGGCCGCCAGCCGAGCCAGCTGGGTACCCTCTCCTCTCCCACCGCGCTCGGCGCCAGCTACCGCCCGGCGTAGTCCCCGCCTCCTCCTCCGCCTCCTCCGCCCGCCTTCCCGCCCTCCTCCCTCCGGCTGCGGAGGCGCAGCCCGTCTGCGCTGGGCCCGCCTCCTGCGCCCCGCTCTGGCACCGGAGGAAGGGCGGGCCGGCCGGGGAAAGGCGCTCAGAGGCCTGAAGTCGTTGGCGGGGGCGGGGGAGCTGCGGACGGGGAAGGAGGGGAGGCGTCGTAACACCTACTCCCAGTCCAGACCTGCAGCCCGACTGAGGCGCTCCGACACGCCGGCCTGGCTGCACGCACGTTTCCTCAGTTAGGTGGAGTGGTGATGTTTGTCATTCGTGTCTCTGCTTAAAGGACTCAGCCCTGAGCACACTGGAAGCCCACGACATTACAAGTTTGACCCTTCAAATCTTAGAAAACTGCTAAATATCTAGGGACTGGAGTGAGGTGAATTCGAATTCAGATTCTGATTGGATTGGCTATTTTTGAAGCCGCAGACTTGATCTTTTCCATTCTTGTACCAAATTCTTTTCTTTGATCAAGACTTTTCTGCTCGCAACTCATATGCATCTCCTCTGCCAAAAAGGTTCACAGACTCAGTGATAAGAATGTGACACTCAGCTCTCACGAGATGCCAAGACTTTTCACAAGCATTTCCAAATTTACACCTCTCAACGAATTTGTAAGGGAGTGACCAATTATCGACATCTTAAAAATTTGGAATGTTTAACTTCCTCAAGGTCACAAGGTTAGTGCCTGAGCTGAGTCTAAACCCAGGATGTGCAACGACGAAATTGTTCATAAATGTTGCTAATTTATGTTTCAGTCCCAATCCAAGACAGTTTATTGTTACTGTTCTTCTTCTTCTTTTTTTTATAAAATACTTTATCTGAACGCAAAAGGCATAAACTTAATACAAATTTAAACAAATCTTGATTCAAAGTTATTCCAAAATCCCCTGAGAATATAAAGACAAATCCAAATACCCCTATTTCAACAGAGCGATGCCCATTGGCTTCTCCGCTACAAGACACTTTATACTACCTCTCTGTGTCCTAAAGTGAGTATGGGATGTTAGAGGGAGAAGGAAACTTTGAAGAATATTCTCTAAAGAACAATTTCAGAAAACGTAAATTACTTTATTTCCAACATAGATATGTATGTAACTTCTCAAATAAATGAATGGATTTTATTGTTTTGCATCAGTACTTTAGGACAACACACTTAAAGTTATTTCAGATCATAATCTGTATGACACAGCAGTGAATTGTTCTGATGATCATTCTCATAATGCTACTTCCAAAACATTGTATATTTTGTATTAGGAAACTTCCTTTCATTCTGTCCTGTCTGCTATCTTAAGACCTTTTCGGAAGAATGCCTTGTACTAGCTCTTTTTGCTCTGAACGTTCAGCGATGTTCTTAGGCCAAAAGCAACAAAGTGCTGGTTTGCCCTTACATTTTCTGGGTTTTTTGTTTGTTTGTTTGTTTTTAAGTTTATTTGTTTATAGAGACAGAGGGAGAGAGAGACAGAAAGAGAGACCTCTCTGTGTGCACAGGGCATGCCGGGCAGGGACAGAAAGAGAGAGCCCCAAACAGGCTCTGTGTTGTCATGACAGTGCAGAGCCCAATGCAGGGCTCCATCCAGCAAATTGTGAGATCATGACCTGGGCTGAAATCAAGAGTCAGATGCTCACATGACTGAGCCACCCAGGCACACTTGCCCTTGAGTTTATTAGGCTTCACTGTAGCCCTCTTGAGAGAGCATTGTCTCTAAATTGTCTCACTCCTTGGGTGGTGCTTGCATCCTTGCCTTAACTCCTCATCCAATCAAAAATTCAGTTTTGGAGTGTCACAAAGAACACCTACCTAATAAACCGATTCATGAGGCGGTTAATGATTAATAATTGCTTTATGTGTGGCCCCTGACTGACATGTCCATGCCACCTAAAGACTCTGAATGGGATTGCCTTAATTCAGATGTGTTGTGGCTTGTAGGGGCTGGGGCTCAGGGGAGGTGGGGAATGCGGAAGCTCTTCCCAGAGCTTTTCTATATTCTGTGAAGATCTATTCAATCTATAAAGAAAAATACTGTGCTTATAAACAATAGGGACAAATGTAGAATAGACCTTGTGATCTGAAAGACCTTCTAAAGCTGTGGAGTCCACTCCATCTCAAAAGTCCCTGTGTAAATTACATCTTTGCCTCAAGCCATCCTTCCCAGAAAAATCACTTTAAAATGATGGTTGTCTGGGAAGGATTATACACTGATGTAAACAGTATCACCTGGCAAATAGTCAGCTTGCAAGAACAGGATAAGTTAGATTTGATAATAACATAGTGGATATAAAACAGAAACTGCTAGGGCTCCTGGATGGCTCAATCTGTTAAGTGCAGGACTTTGGCTCAGGTCATGATTTAGTTCAAGCCCCAGGTAGGACTCTGTGCTGACAGCTCAGAGCCAGGACACTGCTTCAGATTCTGTGTCTCCCTCTCTGTCTGCCCCTCCCCTGCTCACACTCTCTCTTTCTTTCATATACATATAAATATTAAAAAATTTTTTAAAACCCCCAGAAACTACAAAGCCAAGTGTGCAAGAAATACCACATTGCACATTTCCTCTAAATCCATTTGTTTGTATCAGGGCTAACTAAGAAAATAGAGACTACTTCACGTATTTCCAAACAGACAACTAAATGCAAGGAAATGATAGCAGGCAATGGAAGAACTCAGAAGCTAAACAGGGGTTGGTGAAGTGAGCATGGTCCCTCGCTGGAGAAATAAAGGGAGAAGACAGGGTTACTGGAACCCAGGGACCCAGCAGTATGGCCAGCCTGGGAGATACGGCCACAGAGGAAAAAAACAGCTATGGCAGAGGAAAGGGGGGAAATGTACATAGATTCTCCTCTCCTCCCGCCCTCTGATCTCCTACCAGTGCCTGACATTTAGCCAAATGTAGACTCCCACCATCATGAGAACCAGGAAAACACCCTTCAGAGATTAGCCCCTCTGCAACACTGAGGCACACAGGGGAAGGGCACGGAATGTGCATCTAGGGGCAAACAGGCCCTGGATCAGCACATCTTTAATTCACTTTCAAGGCTTCAGTCTTTATCTTAAAGTTTTTTCCCTATTCCCTTGGGTAGGGTCAAAGTTCCAAGAGAGTTCCATGCCAGGCCATGGGTAGGTGGTGACGACAGGCAGTGGTAGGAAGTCCTTTGGTTTATATGCATTTATCCACAGAGGTTTCTATTGTCCTTTCCCAGAGCTACCACCTACGGCAGCAGGCTTCAGTGCACAACATGTCCATAGATGGGTTGGCCCTGTCCTACACACTTGAACCCTCCCTTTAGCTCTCTCTTCTTCTAGCACACATTTGGAGTCCAAGAATATTTCTAAGGTCTAGGACTGTCCTACTAAGCCACACACATTATCAGTGATTTATATTTAGGGTCTTCTATCAAATATATGATATAGGTAGGTTGAAAGTTTAAGAGTAAAAAAAATCATGCAAATATTGTTGAAAACAAAGCAAGAGTAGCTCCATTAATATTAAAGTACACTTCACATCAAAGAAAACTGATTTAATCATTCAAAATGATTAAATGGTCAATGTGGCCAAAAGACTAATGTATACCACACCAAATAGGAAAGCTGCAAATTACGTAAAAACAAAAGCTGGTGAACTGAAAAGAGATAAGCAAACATATAATTATAGTTGAAGACCTCAACACCCCTTTTATAAGAACTGATAGAACAACTGGACAATAAATCAGCAGGGGTCAATAACACCATCAACCACTAGGATGTAACTGACATCTATGGAATACTCCACCCAAGAACAGAAGAATGTACGACCTTTTTAAAAAATGTTTATTTTATTTATTTTGAGATAGAGAGCATGAGCAGGGGAGCGGCAGAGAGACAGAGAAACAGAGAACCCCAAGCAGGCTCCATGTTGTCAACACAGAGCCCAAAGTGGGGCTCAATCTTCTGCATAGCAAGTTCATGACCTGAGCCAAAATCAAGAGTCATGTGTTCAGCTGACTGGGCCACCCAGGGGCCCCTGTACAGTCTTTTCAAATGCCCATGGAATATACACCAAGAAGGACAATATCTTGGTTCATAAAACAAATCTGAACAAATCTAAAACAAATGAACTCATACAGAGCATCGTCTCCAACTACAATGAAATCAAACTAGAAATCAATACCACAAAGAAAACCAGAAAATGCCCAACACTTGGAACAAAAGAACAACCTTGTACACAATCACATGAATCAAAGAGGAAGTCTCGAGGAAAAGTTTAAAAACACGTTTATTTAACAAAATAAAAAGGAAAATAACATTTCAGAACATGTGGGACACAGGTAAAGCATCCTGAGAGGGAAATGTGTAGCACTAAAAAGAGTACATTAGAAAAGAGGAAAATCACAGATCAATAATCTCTTATTTTAAGAGTCTAAAGAAAAGAGCAAAATAAACACAAGGCAAAAATCAGAACAGAAACCAATGGAATTGAAATGGAACAACAATAGAGAAAATGAATGAAATGGAAAGCTGGTTTTTTGAAAGGATCAGTAAAACTTAGTTTCTAGCAAAACTAAGAAAAAAAGAAAATCCAATTGATAAAAATCAGGAATAAAACAGAGACCCTGAAGACATTAAAAGGGAAGTAAGGAAATAATATGAACAACTATACACTCATAAGTTGGACACCTTAAAAGAAATGGACCAACGCCTTGAAAAACATAAACTACCCAAATATACCCAAATATGAAGTAGATAATAAGAACTACCATGTAACTATTAAAGAAATTTAATTCATAACTTTAAAACTTCCAAAAAGCAATGTCTGGGTTGAGAGAACTCCTAAAACCTCTATCATACATTTAAAGGCTTAGTATCAGGGGTGTCTGGGTGGCTCAGTCGGTAAGCAGTTAAGCGTCTGACTTCAGCTCAAGGTGTGATCTTGTGGTTTGTTGGCTCAAGCCCCATGTCAG